GTGTTGGAGAGAGGTGGGCTGCCCTCATCAGTAGCAGTGATGCTGATGTTGTACTGAGGTGCAGTCTCTCGGTCAAGAGGACCGTCCACAACTAATGAATATGAATTCTTATAATTTGACTCTAATTTAAAAGGAACATTATTAGAAATTTTACAAGTCACCATCCCATTTTTACCTCCATCTTTATCAAATATTGAAACAAGAGCAATGGCTGTGCCAACTGATGCGTCCTCTTTAACAGTGTTCAACAGTGATGTGACTGAAATTTCAGGTGCGTTGTCATTAACGTCTAAGACTTCAACCAGTAATTTAGCATGTGAACTCAAAGGCGAGGAAGCTCCATCACTGGCTTGTACTCGAAGTTCAAAAGCATTATTTTCTTCAAAATCAATATTCATTTTATTTGTTACAGTCCCTGTTTGTTCATCTATAGAAAACACATCTGTTTGTTTCCCTTCGTCTATTTCCATAAAATAATATGATATTTGCCCATTTTTTCCATCATCTAAATCAGTGGCATTCAGGGTAATTATTGAAGTCCCAATATTCACATTCTCATGTATACTGACTTTATACAGCATTTGACTAAAGACAGGAGGATTATCATTAATGTCTAAGACATTTACTATAATGGTCATACTTCCAGATTTAGGAGGTGTTCCTGCATCAAGTGCAATTAGTATAAGTTTGATCACAGATTGTTTTTCTCTGTCTAAAACTTTCTGAAGCACCAATTCGACTGTTATGCTACCCCCTTTAAGTGTATTTAGAGAGAAATGTTCATTTTGACTCAGTTTGTAGGCATTTATAGAGTTTTTTCCAACGTCTCCATCGTGAGCTCGTTTCAGCAGAAATTTTGTTCCTACCGCTGTGTTCTCGGTAATATTAATTGTCTGGGTTGTGCTGAGAAATGAGGGTGAATTGTCATTCACATCCAAAACATTTATTTCAATACGGTACAGTTTAAGTGGATTATTAATAACAGCTTCTACACTGAGTGAGCATTTGGCGTCATTACCACAAAGCTCCTCTCGATCTATTCTCTCGTTAACATAGAGGGCTCCAGTTTTTAGATTTACCTCGAAATATTTTTTCTTCGATCCAGCAACGATCTGAAACATGCGGGCCTCCAAATCCTGGACATTGATGTTCAGATCTTTCGCGACATTTCCGACAACAGTCCCCAGATTCACCTCCTCTGAGACGGAGTAAGAGAGCTGCCCAGAAACCGTTTCCCAATAACAATCCAGCAGAACGAATAACAGATTAATCCACAGAAAGCTTCTTCTATGCGGTAAAAGCATATTTACACAGCAGGCGAAGGCACAATAGAAACGCCAGATAATATGTCACAGCAACCAATGAATGGAAATGAATGTATAATTAGTCCAAAGCAATTTTCTCTATCTTCTCAAATAAAGACCACCGTTCGTTGTTGTCCGAGCTCTCTTTGTAACAAAGCACACAAATG